ATTTATTTATATCGTTATGAAAACCAGACAAGAAAATTTATTTCTATCTTTAAAAAAGAGGCCATATTATGTTTGAAACGCGCAAATACTTTTACCCGAATGTTTATGAAGTTTAACACACCTAAAAGAACACGACTTACAGTTCTCCTGTCAAATCTGTAATTTGTCTAAATACAATATGTCAAAAGCAACAATACCAATTGGGTGTCCATTTTATACATTTCTATTTTTGAACTTGTATAATCAACTTCATTTTCTTACTATATTCAATCTAATAAAAATGACATCTATATGCACGCAAATAGCGTCGAAAGAAACTAAACGAGCACAATTCATAGTTACTAATTAAACAAGATATATTTTGAAACACTGATAAGGTAGATAAAGTTCCAAGGTCAGGGTCATGAGGTAAAAATGTTGGTATCCAAAGATAGGTCTTGTCACAAGGAATACACATGTGAAATATGATACCCATAACGCCAACTGTTCAAAATATGGTCAAAGTTAAAGTTTTTGCAAACAAACAGACAGCCAGACAGATCAAAAACTATATACGTCCCCGAATCTTTGATAAAGGGGCATAAAAATGTAGCTATATAGGCTAAAGCTAAATAAAAATATCTAGATATTGCATTATTTGCAAAATAAAACTGTATATATTTAACTGTGCATCGTGACAGTGTAAAGTAGTTCATAATAGCACATTTTTGTTGAAATTCGATTGGATATTGTTACTTTTCCGGATTGTTATCTAACAAGTATCCGTTTCCTTGTTACTTCCAATATCGAGCCTTTCTGTTACAGTCCGTATCGAAGAAAATTAAGTATGTCCCTATTCTCAATTAAAAATGCATATCAAATGTTACCTTAAAAAACAAGACAGCTTCCTTAGAGTAAAACCCATCTCCAACCTCTCATCCCCACACCCGCATCCCCTAACACACCCCTTGCCAATTTCGACTTATATGACATATCTGTGATATAAGTAATAATGATAAAAAATATTTACCTGTTTACTAGAATAAAACCAGATTTTTTTTTATTTCAATTTCTGATACCAATTAAAGCATTGATTATTTTATCGCCCTCATTTTTCGTGCATTAGCTTAAAGCACAAAGCGTTTTTTTTTTTCAAAATCATTCATCTCATATCAATGATTTTGGAAATGCTTGTGAGAAATACTTTACTACTTGATAAACAAGAGCATTGCGTTTGTACGAAAAACATTTATGTTGTGTACCGATGGGTCAAAGCTTGTGTCTCTTGCATGAAGCATGTGAAATAAGGATTTACACAATAACAATAACATTTATATATATATATATATATATATATATATATATATATATATATATATATATATATATATATATATATATATAAGTAAGTAAGTCAGTGACATACCAAAAAAAATTGTCCTGATTAAACTGAACTCTCGACTTTCAGAAAATGTTTAATTTAATTTATCGGTAAATTTTTTGTTCCTTCTACATGAAGACAAAAGACTAGAGCTTCCTACAGTACTTACTAAGTCTCATTTTCCCCCTAGAATTTCGAAAAAATTTTAACGTTTCCCCATGGAGTGTTTTGATATTACAGCTTCTGGGGTCACAAATAAAAATAATAATACAGTGTCACGTGGTCTTCCTTAGTTAGTCTTCCGGGTTGAGTTGGCGGGAAATCGACTCTGCTGGACACTAGATCTTTCTGATTAAGACATGGTACTCTGTCGCGTGATTAAACAAAAAATATCCTACCTTGATCTTATGTCCAGAATGTACATGATTGGATGTAGATACTACCAAGCGACAATAAACTGAAATAAATGCATATCACACAATCGTTATTGTAACTTCCAGTACTTATTCGTTTCAAATTACCCTTTTTGCATAAACAAATCAATCAATTTATCCCGGTTCGGTGACTGTAAAAATAAAAAGCAATGGTAGAATACGGCCAGGATATGTTTGAAACGCGCAAATGCTTCAAACTTATTGATCAAGAAGCAAACAACAGCTAACACAGTTAACTGTGCGAAATGTTCTTTCTAGCTAGCTTATTTTGTTTAATCTGCAACATGATTAAATACAATATGTTAAAAGCAACCAAATGTTAACTTTATATACAATTTGGCTGACTACATCTGTGTTTTTAGAGACGAATTCCTGCAATCGATATTAATCTGATTTACGAAATCCATCTTTTAAAACATCATTTTATTTGATTAGATACGACTATTGGTGAAAATTGCTTTGAACCAAAAGCCGGAATAAACATCGTGTTTTTCTAATATACTTTTTCATACCAGTATGAATAATAAAGCATGTTTGAATAGGAAAAATTGGGGAGGGGGTTTAATGATTGAAGTAATATGGTGAATTAACATATCGAAACTCAAAGACAACGATGAAAACCACTTATTGTGTGTACGAAGAATCTGTTCAGTGACTTTTAAATCTTAGTTCACATAAACTTTAAGCACTGTTTAAAATTTGTTTTTTTCAAAATTGTAAAAAAAATGTACATTGCTCCGAGTTTATCTATCTCCTATCAAATCAAAATGATCTGAATATATATCTTCCGCGTTGACTCTAGACTTATCTCCAATACAGGCTCAAAAAAGTCATTTACATATTCATTTCAATTCGATGGCGGTTTTGTTGCCCTAAAGTCAGGGTTTTATGATTATATAAGTAACTGTATCTCTCTAAGATCTCGTTATCTGAATAAATGATTGAAAAATTATTCAAACGCCACATATCTTCTTTTTTTTTTTAATTCTTTTGTAATATACATTTAAGTGCGTTATCTCTTCTGTGGAAAAGTGTATCGATTCGAGTCAAAATTGAATTCTCAATTCAGACATTAATTTGTGTTGCACTTCTAACGGAAAGATCAAAGGGTGAACTGAAGTTGAAGAGAATATTTTTTATTTATTTATTTTGTTTTGTTTTGTTTTTTTGTTTTTTGTTTGTTTGTTTTTGTTTTTGTTTTGTTTTGTTTTTTGTTTGTTTGTTTGTTTGGGGTTTTTTTTGGCAAGGTTAAATTAATTTTCTAAATATATGTAAAGAAAAAATATTTCATTCGCGCCACCAAAAAGATTAACTGTAAAACTAACACATAAAAATGTTCAAAAAGAGATTTCCTCGTAAATCTGTCTAAATGCAATCAATGTGTTGAATACTAATCATACGTACATCCTTAGTACCAAAAGTACAAAGTTTACAAATCAATGCTTTTTGGTACATGTATCAATACAATCTTTTCCGCAAATACTTGTCAAATTCCAGCTTATATGAAGATATACGTATTCATTGGTTAAAGTAAAATGCTAGATTTATATTCGCATGTTACTGTCGTTAACTAACTGAAAGTACATGTATATGAATGAACTTTAATACATGTACCTGTATACTGACGTATATATTGCAATGAACGTCGGATATTAATCTTCCTTCATCCGAACTAAGAAGCACAAATTTAAACAGATATGTTCTGGAGCCCCGTTATTTCTTTATTTCCAAACTGCGTAAATTTGAGGAATTCCTGGAAAATGCTTAGCTATCATTTCCCTTCAGAATACAGCAAAGTAAACAAACAACTTGATCAATGTCACAAGTCCTTCATCGATTCGGTGTAATAGTCTTCCGCGTTCAGGAGAGTGCGCGTTATCTGTTACTGTAGCTGGCGACAGAGTGCGATTCAGATCTTATTGACCAGTAAGATCGATTTCCCGCCAATTTCTGCTGATACAGGAAGTGTATTACTGAGTGATGTCGTGTTTTTTTCCTTTTTGTGGCTTACTAGCAATTTCAAATTCATACAAGTGCTCGTTAAGCAACTGTTGTTGTTTTTGCTCACTATAGTCAATCTTCTTGGGGAGAGGGGAAATGGTTTTGAAATATATCTGCTTTTTGTGTCTTCGCTTTATATCAATTCCCATGCAATTTTAAAATACTAGTATTAAACCACTTTATTTTAAAATTGCAATCAATGTATAATCCTTGGAAAACAAGGATATTCTGAAAATCTAGAAAATTGTTATTTATTGTTTGACCAAGAAACTTGACTGACGTAAAAGGCCTATAGTAGTAGTTAGCTATAGATAAGGGTAAGGTTGGTACATGTAAGTAGATCAGGCAAAAAAATATTACTGTGTTTTGACATAAAATGGTATCTAATCTTTGATAATTTATAAAGCTTAGACCTATATGTACTACCTATTTTAAAGGCACATTTTTGTTTGTTTTTTGTTTTTGTTTTTTTTTTTTCCGGTTTTTGTTTTTGTTTTTGTTTTGTTGTTGTTGTTGTTGTTGTGTTTTTTTTTTTGTTGTTTTTTTTTTGTGTTTTTTTTTTTTTTTTTTTTTTTGGGGGGGGGGGGTATTGATCACCAAGAAATTGAACCTAAATAATACCTCTGTGGACTGATCAAATTAAATTTTATTTTGCTAAATGTTTATGTTATTGGTTTTAGAATGTAATCTGCATGTTAATGTCATGTTGCGTGCGGTTTTGATGACCCAAGGCAACAGCTATACATATGCTGCATATCTCGATCAAATACATGTACATTAAAATACATATGAATAAATACGCTGAAGTTCAGGCACGCGATCAATATACTTTTATCGTTAAATATCAAGAATGCACACAAAAGTCTAGAATATAATAATAACACTTGTTGAAATCAAGGATGCACAAAATTCAGGAATAGCACCTCATGATCACATTTATGTAACACTTACAGATTAGCAAAAACAGCTATACTTGCCAATACTTTATCAGTGACTTCATTCTTATAGTAAACAACCGTCTCTTTATTTTACTTACTAGTGTTTGTCAGAGTATATCGACATTCTTCTATCTGTGACCCACTTTTTTACCGCTTGTCATTGGATAGAGGGCACGCTAATGATCGCGGTATTTTTTTAAGCTCCGCCTACTTTCTAGATTATAAGCGTAATGTCTCGCGTTTTGATGTCAGTACGATAAATGTTTGAGATCGAGATGGCCATATCACTGATCGAAGCAATTCGTAGTGGCAATGTTACATTAGCAAAAAAATTACTTGCACAGAGGAAATTTTCGTGTTTGAATTCACAAACTGCACGGAATGACGGAACGGCCCTGTACTGGGCATGTTGTCTGGGATATTTAGAGTTAGCGCAGTCTTTATTGGAGCAAGGGGCGAACCCCAACATCCTTACCTCATGGAAGGGTTCCCCCCTACACGCAGCCTGTGACAACGATCAAGTGAAATTGACACAGTAAGTTGAATATTTACTTTTTTAAAAAAAAATGTTTAGATAAATTCAAATATTAACTAAAATGCATTATTTGTAATTTAAAATTTTATCCACTCTTTTCAAGCAATTTTAAAGATGAGTTATAAATAAAAATCTTAGAATTAGTAAAGGCTATATTTTTAAGGTATAAAGTAACCTTCGATCGGTAGCTATTTTATTTTATTTGTATTTTATGCATACCTAAACTTCGGAAGAAAAATGACACTTCCATGAATATTTTTTTTTTCAAAACACGCAGCCAAGAATTGCCGAATATGCAAATACTAATGTGTATAATTTAATGAAGACTGGCCATTTGCACTGTAATTTATGCGATTTCTTTTTATCTCTTTCAGACTGCTTTTAAGATATGGAGCAAACATTAATCAACAGACAAAGAGCGGGGATACCCCTTGTCACCTAGCAGCCTACAGGGGACATTCCTTCCTGGTCCAGCTCCTTGTGGAAAACGGGGCCTCCCTCAGAATCACCAACAACAAGTCGAGAACGCCGTTAGAAGAAGCTCAAAATAAGGGTCACCAAGATATTGCTCGCTACATCTCAGCGGTTAATAATATCCGTAAGTATAAATTAGGGCATTAAAACGATGATAACAAAACGTCATTCTAAAAAGTTATTAAACATGTTCATTGGTTGATATACAAACATGTGTATTCCTAAATCATTTATTAAATCTTATTTTTAACTTGCAGGCAATAATTTTTCTTTATTAAATTGCAGGCTCAGAATCACAATATTCCTATACAAGGACAGACTGGGAATCGCAGATAACTGTGCAACATCTATATGCCAGCGACAACGGGAATGGATTTTACTGGGCACCAAATTCGGATTTTTCAGTTCCACCAGAAAACAATTTATCGCTCTTATCCCATAACGGACCTTCATCACAAATGACTTTCCGGAATCTTTAAATCTGTTCCTGGAGTTAACATTAACAATTTACAATTTTGTGAAAACACTTGAGCGAAATCCTAAAGAATTCAATAACAGGTAGTTTGTTGATATTTTCCGATTGGTATTGGATCAAGTTACTCAATTGTGTACAACAAGGATGTTAAACGAGCGCTGATTGGTTGGATTTTTCCAGTTAATTTCCGGGTCGGAGAGTGATCTTTCGCGGCACTACATAATGATGTTCATTGATTATTTGATCAATGGCATCAGTCATTCCCCTTTTGATTTCGCGCCGGAGGAGAAAATACTCTTCTGACACTGCTCAGTGATTTGTTTTCGACATTTGTCGATTTTTCCCCTCTTTAACTATGGATGTTGTTATTTTCTTGTTGTTTTTAATGGTGCTAACATTTTATATGAAGAGTCCCCGACATCCTTGTATTTTAATGCTATATGAGGCCCTTGTCTTTCAAGTGTATATTCTAAGTCATTTGAATTCCGATGTTAATATATATATTGTATTTATTGGATGCACAATGTGTGTTCATACTGTTGTTACCTATTTTCAACATTGTTATACGTAATAAAATCTAAAATTCATTCCTCTGTCTTCTAATTCTTTTAGATAGCCTCCCATTACCGACACAGTCAGGAAGTCTTTGTCACCTTTGTTTAAACTTTGACTTATGAGCTTTTACATTTATTGTTTTTTGGCCGGTAGTATTATGATGGATATATCATCAATTCTTCCTTAATTTAGTTAAACAATTAGCTTTTAGTATTGTATATTATACATTTTAAGCCTATTACGTTAAAGTAGGGAAGTCGTGACTTTAAATAAAAGCATTTAATGAAAGGAATAGACAAGAAAATTGTCCTTAATGTAAGATATATGGAAATGTATTAATGAACAATGTGACCTACTTAACGACTTTGACGAACCACGTTGGAGTGTTTGTTATGTTTAATTCACGCGTCATATGAATTATATCCTATCAGATACATTCATAAACATTTAGTCATCAACGTTTTGTTTAAATACGTGTAAGAGGATTATTTTTTCTGTTCTGCAAAATTAATAATAAATAATTTTATAGTTACGTAATTTTATTGAGAATAAAGTACATAGCTTATAATAGAGAAGTTTCTGTCCATTTGTATTATGTCTATGCCAATGTAAGATCTGCCATCTCTCAGTTTCTCTTGATATATAATTCACTTATGAAAATATCCCTAAAATCAGCAAATACACATGTCAATCTACTTTTTTTAAGTTATAGTCATAATAATAGGAGAAAACTACCAGTTTTTCTCATAATGTAATATTTTCTTGAATAAAATTCATCAGTGAATATCTCTCTAAAATATCAGATATCATTTCAAAAGGTTTCATATTTTTGCACACATTTGGCTGTTTGATTCCTCAATTTTTATATAACTAAGTTGTGAAGAAAGCGACTAGTATATTGCAGATAGTTGTAATGGTAATTAAGTTTGGTATGTAAGGCATTTAAAGAAGATATAAAATGCACATGTATTTTAAAAAGTATATATTTACTTCTCTGAGGTAATAAATTTATTTCATTTTTGTCAGTATGCTTCAAAGTGTTGAAAAATATTGAAATAATATTTAAATTCATTAAATTTAAATTGCTGCTCCAAATAATTTTAATTCTATTAAATTTCCTTAAAGAATACAATTTATATTATGACGCACATTTGATATAAATGAAAGTTAAAGAAAAACGCCCCTATATAGAATCTTTCATGGTTTGTGGTTGGATATTTGTTTATCCAACGGGTTGTATTTTTTTTTATCATCAAGCCTTTGCGAAGGGATAAAAACACACAACCCGTTGGATAAAAAATCAAATCCAACTACAGTCCATGGGAGATTCTTTTTATCACATGTTTTACACATAGCTATTTCAAGTGTACATTGTTTTATACACATGTAAATTTATCCAAAATATTTGACTTGATCAAATTCACGCAAAAACCATTTGTGACGTCACAATCGTGGATATGAAAACAATATCCTATGAGCTATTTCACTGTATAAAGGAGTAAACCTATGATTTTTCTTCTCTTTTTTTTTGGGGGGGGGGGGGGCACGTAACTTGAATATGTACGTACAAAACTAATGGCTTTATGTACATATACTGGAAAAGAAATTTACTTCTGTCATATTTTTACATACTTATTATATGAAAATAACCTCCATTCTATAAAATATAAAGTAAATAATCATTCTTTTGTGGATTCTAAATCGATAATAGCTAACTTAATATTAATTGATACTTTTATTATATGATCGAATAATTCCTATCTCTCTGATTGGCTGAGATCTAACAATGTAGAAAAAATACTACGTTATATTCACCTGCACGTGACCTTCCAGGTGAATATAAGAATTTATTTTCTCTACATTGGTCTAAACATAGATCGGGAAATTACTGATACAAATAGTTTTGGAAAGCTATTTCACATGCTACCAACTTCCACTCAGGTGAACATAACATTAGGGAATATATAATTTGGGGTGGGGGTGCAGGGAATTGTACTACAGACCCTAAAACGTGCTACTACACCACTTGCACGGTTCGGTTCGGTTCGGTTCGTTTTGTGTACGGTACGGTACGCTTCTTGCACGGAACGGTACGCTTTGTGAACGGTACGTTTCGCTTTGTGCAGGGTACGGTACGTACGCTTCTTGCACGGTACGGTTCGTTTTGTGTACGGTACGGTTCGCTTTGTGCACGGTACGCTTTGGTGAACGGTATGTAAATTAAGTGGGCGGAGCCTTTACGCTTTAGTTATTGATTGGCTACTTCATAAAGTCGTTTTTTCTTTATTATAATCTCTTTATTTTATATAAATGGAAGGACGATATCGCAAGCATTTTTTACTAAGTTATTTTTAAGTTTAAGCTGTTATAAATATTTCCTTTTTACAGCTGTATTTTTGTTATTACATGTAACTAGTCGTCTTAATAACTGTATCTTTTTTAAATTTACTTTCTGTATGAACTACTTTCAATTTTTAAGATAAAATAATTTTAGTTGTCTATTTATTATCTCATTTTATACACCATCGTCTTATGGTTCAGTAACTCGGAAATAAATCGAACATATCAACAAACACTGTATAACAAGGATGAACAAAAATATTTTGGTTGCGTCGCCATAAAAGGTCTTTCTGTATTTTTTTTTTTTTAAAGAATAAGCGTACATATGGGTCTTTTTTTTCACTTTAAATTTTCCTAATTGAATATAATTGTTATTTTAAATATTCACTTATCACACTTTAAAACAAATGAGATTGATTTTATAAATCCCTCATGCTTTCATTTCGTCTACCATTCTTTTTACATTCTTGTCACTGTTGCTTCATTTTAAAAAACAAACAAAAATTTTCTCTTGACCGAATGATCAAACAAACAATGAAAAATGTTATTATTTTTATTTGCGAGGAATTATATATATATATTTTTTTTACATAGACTTCTTAGGTGTTTGGCTCGCTAGGAAAAATACATTGAATAGAAATCGGTAGAAGTGCACACAATTAGTGCAAAATATTACTTTATTTTTTGTGCGCGTAATTGTTTTCCTTTTTACATAAATTTTCCATCAATGTGTAAACACGCTTTTTGAAGTGAAGGTACAATAAAAAAAAAAAGGTTAAGACAGCTACAATTCCATCTACAATGTATAAATGTATATAATATACACGTATATTGACTGCAAAGACAGATTTCCAAAATAAATAATGTCAAAATGTTAGAAATAAATAGTCCGTTTTCCATTACCTTGAAAATAAATAATATGCAGCCATGATATGTCCTCAAAAACTTTGAAAATGGATAATATGCCCATGCCGAGTGGTAACCCCCCCCCCCCCAATTGATTTGTTTCCTTGTCAAACTCAAACTTTTTTTTATTGAAGATCTAGAAGAAAAGCTGACTGCACATGAAGTTCTATATATATATGCTGATTAAAACTGGTTCATTGTTGTAGACTTACTGTTTAAGACAGCAAACTGTTGATACATGTGTGAATGTAGGCATATCTGGACTAACGGGATTAGATACGGTTCAATATACACAGCTCAAGTTTTTACCTGTGTACGTGTGAAGACAATACTTGATCGAAATTTTCAAATGTTTTAGAGTAAATAACGAAAGTATAGAAATACGTCAGTCTAGATAACGAGACTATGGCAAGAAATGTACAGTGTTTCTTAAAAAAAAAAAACAAACTTGGATGAACACGCATGCACGGACTAAGCATTTTTTTTTTAGATTAAACTGGGCTTTATGAGTAAATTCCAGATAACATATTTTACCTGCAGGTTTCAGTGAATAAAGCAAATTAAATGGAAAAATGCTTTGAATAAAAATTAATTCTGACTTATATGATATGTTTTTTGATTACGTGTATTAAACTGAAAATTCCATGTGAAAACGTGGCGATCAAACTTTTTGACAGTATGTTATATTGGCGATAACATCTTGAGTTGGTCAGAAGAGTGTAAACCAACACACATTATTTAATGTATACATCGCCTTTATTTATTTTTTTCTAGTGATAGAGAGGCGTTTACATTTTAACATGTCCGCTTTCAAATTGACAATTTAGTTCGTAATTTTTTTTTTGAAATTTTGTTATTGTTGTTGTTGCTAAATCTGCAATCATTTCTCCCTAAAATTATTACTTACATGAATAAAAACTGATTTTAAGGGGTTGGTTTCTGAAAATAGCACAGAATCTGTATACATTTTTCAATGTGTCTTTGTTTCCGAGAACGTTCATAGAGACAAGAATAGGGTAGATAAAAGCTATAGAAATAAACGATAGAGTATTTAATTCACTTTTATTTATTATAAATTGTACACGAAAATATTACGATGCTGCATTTTATATGAAAAAAAAATGTTAGTCAAGCACAACCGGATCATGCATAGCGAATAAGGAATCGCCTCACACTCTGTCGAGCTGTTTTGAAGTCGTAACTAGTTTTGAGTAGTTTCCTTATATTAACAGATGTAAGTCCAGAAGCATGGTACTTAATAATAATAATTTGAATCTCTAGGGTTATTTTCCGTCCATCTTTAACAGGCGCTGTGTCGAAAGAAATAGAAGAAAATTACTTACTGTATTGGTCATTGCAAGATTCGGAATGCTTTCTGGGCGTGGCTTGCATAATTATTTCAAAAATTATTCATGAACGGTACGGTTCGCTTTGTGCACGGTACGGTACGCTTCTTGCACGGTACGGTACGCTTCTTGCACGGAACGGTACGGTTCGTTTCTGAGGTGTAGTAGCACGTTTTAGGGTCTGTATATTTAAAATCATACATTACGTAGGGGACATAATTTTGTAGGTCTCTTTATTCCACGAAAACAACGAAAATTAACCCCCAAACAAAAATTAGTGATTTTACGGTATACCCGGTGATCTTCCCCAGTGGTTTTCTAGTTATCTAAGTCATAGGTCACAAAAAGTAGATTTGTTATTGTCAAAACTAGATATATTTGTAGGTGCATCCCAGGGTTCTGTCTTAGGGCCATTTTTGTTTCAGATATATATAAATGATC